GCTAGAAGCTGAATGGATTCGCAGAAATATATAAAATATAAATTTTAGAGGAGAGACCTCCCAACGGGTTAACAAATGAATGCAATTCATTAATTTTGAAACTATCATCGATGAATGCATTAAAATAAATTGTAGTTTCTACATCATTGAAAGTTCAATGGAATGAAAAGTGCAAAAATATTTCATAATTTATTGTGGAAATTGCTACCCTACAGGTGGTCATCTATAAGGCGTGGATTTTTTAAAGAATATTTTTCACACAACCTCCATCTATAAGGCGTGGATTTTTTAAAGAATATTTTTCACACAACCTCCATCTATAAGGAATGAATTTTTTAAAGAATATTTTTTCCAACCTCCATCTATAAGACCTGGATTTTTTTTCACACAACCTCCATTATTAAGGGGTGGATTTTTTAAAGAATATTTTTCACACAACCTCCATCTATAAGGCGTGGATTTTTTAAAGAATATTTTTCACACAACCTCCATCTCTAAAGCGTGGATTTTTTAAAGAATATTTTTCACACAATATCCATCTATAAGGCGTGGATTTTTTAAAGAATATTTTTCACACAACCTCCATCTCTAAAGCGTGGATTTTTTAAAGAATATTTTTCACACAACCTCCATCTCTAAAGCGTGGATTTTTTAAAGAATATTTTTCCAACCTCCATCTACAAGGCATGGGTATTTCCTTAGGAACTTTCACTACGTAATTTTTGTAATTTATTGTTAATTAATATTCAAAATATATAATTTGTGGTTCTTATTTCTTAAAAATCTTCATCGCTGTGATGTTCCGGCTTGACAGCAGTCTTCGGCCTGACTTGTAGCTCCCCAGTGATTTTCGAAATGCTAATACTGTCCATCGAATTCAAATCAACTGAAAATAAAATACAAAAACATTAAAAAAATCCTCCTCAATACCCCTCCCCCATAACTTAGAACACTGTTCACCAAACAGGCGCCCGTGGGCGCTTTGGGAGAGTACCAACACAATCACAGTTCTGTGTTCGAACTCAACATTATTCTCGACATCGAACATGTCGTATGCTTTGCAATGCTTTAACATAGACGATCTGTACCGAGAGAGCGAATATTACTCTCCCAATGGATCTATGCGTGTGTCCAACACAATCATATCAGTTTGCATATGTATTGTTGGCTAACCCTGACTTACAATCATCATCACCCAAATCATTATTGTTTCCCAAGACAGCACCTCCCGCAGCATTTGTGCAAATACCCAGTAGTTCAGCCATATCAAAATCACTATCAGAACTACCAAATGAACTGTCATTTTCCATATCTTGACTTTCCGATTTACCGGAATTAATTTCATTTCTGGCAGCAGCGGCAGCATTCATCAAAGCGGTACCCTTACGACCACGTCCAGTGGTGGGACGCATACGTGAGGTGGCAGTACCGGGTCGTTTATTTGAAGCCGTTGTGGTTTTTCGTTGCACCTCATCGGGAATGTCATTTTCCAACCCTGAATTACCCTCCAAACGTGGTTCATCATCATCATCGGCCAATAGGCCCTCCGGTGTGAAAGGCATTGAATTTTTATTTGACTTTTACAGAAGAGGCGAGGATATGGGAGAGGATCTCTTCGTGCGAGCCTTATACTGAGCCCGCAGTGCATTAAGTATGTTCAGTCGTAGAAAATATTGTTGGAAGAGATTTTTCAGTTCCTTTCCATATTCCTAAAATTCTTCATGTGAGCTAGACGAATTTTCTGCAAAGCTTCCAGACGTTGTTTGGTCCTCTCCAATTCCGCCTTCTTCCTTTGCAGCTTAGAGTGTAGGGAATTTAGCTCCACACCAACATTTTCCAATTGTACTCGATTTTATTGCAGTTTTAGCTGGGCAGAGGCCACTGCATGTTCAGGGTTCTCTCCACTGCAGCCAGTTCCATGGGCCTATGGGCCTGGGTTAAAACGTGCCTCTTTATTATTTATTTCCTTTTGCAGCAGTTCATAGAGAACAGCTCCTCTTTGGGTTAAATATGAGGAGAGCTCTCGAGCTCGACGTAAATCCTCAATTTTATCACCAATATCCACTTGATTTAGGCTACGATAATTATCTCCTTCTTCCTCACCATCCTCCGTGGAGCAGTTCATACAGAATAGCTCCCCTTTGGGTCAGATCTGAGGAGAGTTCTCGAGCTCGACGTAAATCCTCAATTTTATCACCAATATCCACTTGATTGAGGTTACGATAATTATCTCCTTCTTCCTCACCATCCTCCGTGGATGCGGGTGCAATTAGTAGATGGGTGATTTTTTACAATTCTCCTGCGGTCATCGCAGCTTTGTTAGACCCTGAAAAAATACTTCTTTAAAAATCCACGCCTTTGTTAGACCCTGAAAAAATACTTCTTTAAAAATCCACGCCTTTGTTAGACCCTGAAAAAATACTTCTTTAAAAATCCACGCCTTTGTTAGACCCTGAAAAAATACTTCTTTAAAAATCCACGCCTTTGTTAGACCCTGAAAAAATACTTCTTTAAAAATCCACGAAAAAATACTTCTTTAAAAATCCACGCCTTTGTTAGACCCTGAAAAAATACTTCTTTAAAAATCCACGCCTTTGTTAGACCCTGAAAAAATACTTCTTTAAAAATCCACGCCTTTGTTAGACCCTGAAAAAATACTTCTTTAAAAATCCACGCCTTTGTTAGACCCTGAAAAAATACTTCTTTAAAAATCCACGCCTTTGTTAGACCCTGAAAAAATACTTCTTTAAAAATCCACGCCTTTGTTAGACCCTGAAAAAATACTTCTTTAAAAATCCACGCCTTTGTTAGACCCTGAAAAAATACTTCTTTAAAAATCCACGCCTTTGTTAGACCCTGAAAAAATACTTCTTTAAAAATCCACGCCTTTGTTAGACCCTGAAAAAATACTTCTTTAAAAATCCACGCCTTTGTTAGACCCTGAAAAAATACTTCTTTAAAAATCCACGCCTTTGTTAGACCCTGAAAAAATACTTCTTTAAAAATCCACGCCTTTGTTAGACCCTGAAAAAATACTTCTAAAAATTAAAAATCCACGCCTTTTTAGACCCTAATTAAATTGTAGAGCCTTTGTTAGACCCCTTGCACAAAAAATACTTCTTTAAAAATCCACGCCTTTGTTAGACCCTATGGATAATGAACGAGTCAGCAGCTTCGCCATTTGATATGAATAAATTCCAAACACTTGTGACCGGTCAGACACGAACGACATCTCAGCATTTTAATCTTAATTCAAAATGCAAATACAACAACAATTGGATTGGTAATGAAATAATTGTTTTAAAATAAATTTTAGAATATTTAATTAAACTCAAAATAGTTTGCAAACTATTTTTGGAATGCGGAATGTGAGGCTAATTTCAAGGGTCCAACCAAGGCGTGGATTTTTAAAGAAATACTTTATCAGGGTCTATCCAAAGCGTGGATTTTTAAAGACATATTTTTCAGGGTCTATCCAAGGCGTGGATTTTTAAAGACATATTTTGTAAGGGTCTATCCAAGGCGTGGATTTTTAAAGACATATTTTTAAGGGTCTATCCAAGGCGTGGATTTTTAAAGACATATTTTTAAGGGTCTATCCAAGGCGTGGATTTTTAAAGACATATTTTTAAGGGTCTATCCAAGGCGTGGATTTTTAAAGACATATTTTTAAGGGTCTATCCAAGGCGTGGATTTTTAAAGACATATTTTTAAGGGTCTATCCAAGGCGTGGATTTTTAAAGACATATTTTTAAGGGTCTATCCAAGGCGTGGATTTTTAAAGACATATTTTTAAGGGTCTATCCAAGGCGTGGATTTTTAAAGACATATTTTTCAGGGTCTATCCATGGCGTGGATTTTTAAAGACATATTTTTCAGGGTCTATCCATGGCGTGGATTTTTAAAGACATATTTTTCAGGGTCTATCCATGGCGTGGATTTTTAAAGACATATTTTTAAGGGTCTATCCAAGGCGTGGATTTTTAAAGACATATTTTTAAGGGTCTATCCAAGGCGTGGATTTTTAAAGACATATTTTTAAGGGTCTATCCAAGGCGTGGATTTTTAAAGACATATTTTTAAGGGTCTATCCAAGGCGTGGATTTTTAAAGACATATTTTTAAGGGTCTATCCAAGGCGTGGATTTTTAAAGACATATTTTTAAGGGTCTATCCAAGGCGTGGATTTTTAAAGACATATTTTTAAGGGTCTATCCAAGGCGTGGATTTGTAAGAAATTAATTATTAATAGGCGTGTATTTTCAAATAATTGTTTGTTTCATGGTCTACCAAAGACATTGACTTGTACAAAAATCAAATTTGAAGGACTACCAAAAACGTGCATTTTAATAGAATTATTTTTTCAGGGATTACAAAAGGCGATGGTTTGTAAAGAATTATTTTTCGTGCCCTTTTTAACGAACATCAATCTATAAGGCTTGGATTTTTCAATAGAGTTTTTCAATCCTCATTTGCCCTACATCTCGTGGATTTTTAACGGTTGTTAGAGCTATCATATAAATCTCTCCACGTGTTCCTTTAAAGTCCTCCACGTGTTCCTTTAAAGTCCTCCACGTGTTCCTTATAATACCGGATTATTTACAAGTGGCTTTATAAACAAATTTCGTATGAAGCCGCTTTACAGCTCAAACATGTCTGGTAACGAACGGCAACCAAACCCCTTACTACAGTTAGGCTTTCAGTAACAAAATTTACCCAACCCCAATAAGCAATTCGGCATATTTTTACAGGAAACACTTGTCGAACAGCCAGAATGCCACCAGTTGATCAGCCACCAACAACCCCTCAATAGCGATTACACTGCGGTGCTCAGGACAACGCTAGTTGCCTGGCAACCGGAACAAAAGCCACCACGAACAAGAGTGGTAGCGAATGGTGTACAACGAATAACTGGTCAATTGAACGAACAAGGTCCCATTTAAAGGAAAGTTTTTGAGATACGTGGTCATTTGGAGGAAGAAACGAAATATTGGAAAAAATCGAAAAATGTCCTTTAAGGAGGTTCGGGGTAAGAAAATTAGAATCGAATTTTAAAATATAATAGAATTTAAAAAAAAATTCCTCTAGATCTGGCTGAACATTTAAAATTGTTGGGCTATCCTCAGACATTTCCCTTGCAAGCCCTTTCCTCCAGCTTTGGTTGCTTGGCCTCCTTCTATGTGGTGGCTGACGTTCTGCAATGGCTAGCTGGCCTTTTGGAACCAGGAGCTGTACTACCCGGTGGTGTTACCACTCAGGATGATAGAGTTCTGCTAATACGTTCCGCCACAGAATTTTTCGTAACCAAATCAGCCATCAAATTGAATCCACGTAAATTGTATGCTGCATCAGCGGTGACAGCAGGAGAATTGCAAAAAATCACCCGTCTACTAATTGCACCCGCATCCACAGAGGATGGCGAGGAAGAAGAAGATAATTATCGTAGCCTAAATCAAGTAGATATTGGTGATAAAATTGAAGATTTACGTCGAGCTCGAGAACTCTCCTCAGATTTAACCCAAAGGGGAGCTGTACTCTATGAGCTGCTGCAAAAGGAAATGAATAATAAAGAGGCACGTTTGGCCCAGGCTAATCGACCCATGGAATTGGCTTCGGTGGAGAGAACCCTGAAAAATGCTGTGGCCTCTGCCCAGCTAAAACTGCAATCAAATCGAGCCCAATTGGAAAATGCTCGTGTGGAGCTAAATGCCCTACACTCTAAGCTGCAAAGGAAGAAGGCGGAATTGGAGAGGACCAAACAACGTTTGGAAGCTTTGCAGAAAATTCGTCCTGCTCATATGCAAGAATTTGAGGAATATGAAAAGGAATTGAAGAATCTCTTTCAACAATATTTTCTACGGTTGCACATACGTGATGCATTGAGGGCTCAGTTTGAAGCTCGCACAAAGAGGTCTTCACCCATATCCTCACCTTTGCTGCAAAAGGCAAATGAAAATTCAATGCCCTTCATACCGGAGGGCCTATTGGCCGATGATGATGAAGATTTGGATGATGATGAACCACGTTTGGAGGGTAATTCGGGGTTGGAAAATGACATTCCCGATGAGTTGCAACGGAAAACTACAACGGCTTCTAATAAAAGGCCAGGCACAGCCACCTCACGTATGCGTCCCACCACAGGACGTGGTCGTAAGGGTACAGCTTTGATGAATGCTGCCGCTGCTGCCAGAAATGAAATGAATTCCGGCAAATCGGAAAGTCAAGATATGGAAAATGACAGTTCATTTGGTAGTTCGGATAGTGATTTTGATATGGCTGAACTACTGGGTATTAGCACCAATGCTGCTGGAGGTGCAGTCTTGGGCACCAATGATGATTTGGGGGATGATGATTGTAAGTGGGGGAGAAGGAGGGGTATTGATGGAGATTTTCTCTAATGTCATTGTATTTTATTTACAGTTGATTTGAATTCTATGGACAGTATCAGTATTTCGAAAATCACTGGAGAGCTACAAGTCAGGCCGAAGACTGCTGTCAAACCGGAACATCATAGTGATGAAGATTTTTAAGAACTAAGGCACTCTATTTATGCCTTCAGAACCATACATTATATATTTTGAGATATTTAACTTTTTAATAAAAAATAAATCTGATAACCCACGCCTTATAGATGGAGGTTGTGTGAAAAATATTCTTTAAAAAATCCACGCCTTATAGATGGAGGTTGTGTGAAAAATATTCTTTAAAAAATCCACGCCTTATAGATGGAGGTTGTGTGAAAAATATTCTTTAAAAAATCCACGCCTTATAGATGGAGGTTGTGTGAAAAATATTCTTTAAAAAATCCACGCCTTATAGATGGAGGTTGTGTGAAAAATATTCTTTAAAAAATCCACGCCTTATAGATGGAGGTTGTGTGAAAAATATTCTTTAAAAAATCCACGCCTTATAGATGGAGGTTGTGTGAAAAATATTCTTTAAAAAATCCACGCCTTATAGATGGAGGTTGGGAAAAATATTCTTTAAAAAATCCACGCCTTATAGATGTTGGAGGTTGGGAAAAATATTCTTTAAAAAATCCACGCCTTATAGATGTTGGAGGTTGGGAAAAATATTCTTTAAAAAATCCACGCCTTATAGATGTTGGAGGTTGGGAAAAATATTCTTTAAAAAATCCACGCCTTATAGATGTTGGAGGTTGGGAAAAATATTCTTTAAAAAATCCACGCCTTATAGATGTTGGAGGTTGGGAAAAATATTCTTTAAAAAATCCACGCCTTATAGATGTTGGAGGTTGGGAAAAATATTCTTTAAAAAATCCACGCCTTATAGATGTTGGAGGTTGGGAAAAATATTCTTTAAAAAATCCACGCCTTATAGATGTTGGAGGTTGGGAAAAATATTCTTTAAAAAATCCACGCCTTATAGATGTTGGAGGTTGGGAAAAATATTCTTTAAAAAATCCACGCCTTATAGATGTTGGAGGTTGGGAAAAATATTCTTTAAAAAATCCACGCCTTATAGATGTTGGAGGTTGGGAAAAATATTCTTTAAAAAATCCACGCCTTATAGATGTTGGAGGTTGGGAAAAATATTCTTTAAAAAATCCACGCCTTATAGATGTTGGAGGTTGGGAAAAATATTCTTTAAAAAATCCACGCCTTATAGATGTTGGAGGTTGGGAAAAATATTCTTTAAAAAATCCACGCCTTATAGATGTTGGAGGTTGGGAAAAATATTCTTTAAAAAATCCACGCCTTATAGATGTTGGAGGTTGGGAAAAATATTCTTTAAAAAATCCACGCCTTATAGATGTTGGAGGTTGGGAAAAATATTCTTTAAAAAATCCACGCCTTATAGATGTTGGAGGTTGGGAAAAATATTCTTTAAAAAATCCACGCCTTATAGATGTTGGAGGTTGGGAAAAATATTCTTTAAAAAATCCACGCCTTATAGATGTTGGAGGTTGGGAAAAATATTCTTTAAAAAATCCACGCCTTATAGATGGAGATTTCGTGAAAAATATTCTTTAAAAAATCCAAGCCTTATAGATGGAGATGATGTTAAAAATTATTCTTTAAAAAATCCAAGCCTTATAGAAGTTGAAGGTTGGGAAAATATTCTTTAAAAAATCCACGCCTTATAGAAGTAGGAGGTTGGGAAAAATATTCTTTAAAAAATCCAAGCCTTATACACTGCGTATCATAACTATAGACGCACCCTTAATTCAATTGGTATGTTAAGTTATTGTTCACAATAAAACGATCAAAAACACATATTATTCAACAAAAATAATTAATTTATTCTCTATGGTTTCGCCGAATTCTGCACTTTCAAAATTGCTGGTGTTGCATAACTATAGACGCACTTTTACAAAATTAGAAAAATTTATTTTTTAAAACTTAAATAAAATAAAATAACTTTTATAAATAATGGGTAGGGCCTCCCTTATTTTGAATGAGTTCAAAAATTTTATCCATCACACTGTTGTTCAAAATTATTCGCAAGTCTTCATCGATTGACCGCTATTCATCGAAAATCACTTCTTGGAGGTAAAATACCGTTTGGTATTGGAGGTTTTCTGCATAGACACGATGAGTCAAGATTCCACACATGTTCTCGATCGGATTCTGGTCGGAAATTTTAATATTTTTCGATTTTAACCATACTTGAGTATGGCGACTTTTATGAACTGGTACGTTGTCCTGCTAAAAAAGGAGTCCTTGATTGTTGCTGCTTTCCAAAAATGGCAATAATTTGTCTTCCAAGACTTGAACGTACCCCATTGAATTCATCCGACAACATGGAAATGCCAAATAAAGCATTCCGAGGCTATAAAATGCTCTCAAGGTGGCGGTTAGCGAAATATCGATATTTCTTAATACGATATTTCGGTGGCGGTTCCTTAATGGCCTTGGGAGCATTTTATAGCCACGGTATGCTTTATTTGACATTTCCATCTTGTCGGATGGAGTACGTTCAAGTCTTGGAAGACAAATGATTGCCATTTTGGGAAAGCAACAACAATCAAGGACTCGTTTTTTAGCAGGACAACGCACCAGTTCATAAAAGTCGCCATACTCAAGTATGGTTAAAATCGAAAAATATTAAAATTTCCGACCAGAATCCGATCGAGAACATGTGTGGAATCTTGACTCATCGTGTCTATGCAGAAAACCTCCAATACCAAACGGTATTTTACCTCAGAAGTGATTTTCGATGAATAGCGGTCAATCCATGAAGACATGCGTATAATTTTGAACAACAGTGTGATGGATAAAATTTTTGAACTTATTCAAAATAAGGGAGGCCCTACCCATTATTTATAATAGTTATTTTATTTTATTTTATTTTATTTAAGTTTTAAAAAATAAATTTTTCTAATTTTGTAAAAGTGCGTCTATAGTTATGGAACACCAGCAATTTTGAAAGTGCAGAATTCGGCGAAACCATAAAGAATAAACTAATTATTTTCTTTGAATAATATGTGTTTTTGATCGTTTTATTGTGAACAATAACTTAATGGGTCCATTTGATTTGTCAACTAACATACCAATTGAATTAAAGGTGCGTCTATAATTATGATACGCAGTGTAGAAGATGGAGGTTGGGAAAAATATTCTTTAAAAAATTCACGCCTTATAGATGTTGGAGGTTGGGAAAAATATTCTTTAAAAAATCCACGCCTAATACGGAGGTTGGAAATTAAAAAAAATCCACGTTTATACAAATGTTTGTTGTAAAATTGTATAAACCGTTTATGTTATAAAGCGTATATAAAAGCGTTATTAAAGCTTTGGTGGTTCATTGCTGTAATACCGATTCATGGACCTTGTGAGATGTAGATGGCGGGCATAGCACAGCTTTGATTAACCAAAACGGTTTATTTCAAAATTATAATATAATTTTTGGTTCTCGATTGTCCCCAAATAGAAGTAGAATGTTGCAACGTATCTAATTGCCATATATTACACATTTCAGGTAGATAAAAAATATTTGAAATATATTTTCAATCGTATTGGTTCATAACGACGCCTCCGAACCATAATATGCTAAGTCTACTTAGCATGTTTTAAAGTTCTTTACGTTTTTAGATACTACGGGCCTTAATTTATATTCTCTGAAATTTTGGTAATCATCGACCAATCCAAAGCAAAGTTATAAGCAAAAATGTACATAGCATGGCACGTACGATTTAAGAAACTTCCATACTTTGAGAGCTTCTGCTGAAAAATCCACTTTTCAGACTTAGCATACCATTCTTCGGAGGCGTCGATAAGTTGGCATTAGGTTATTATTTATATTAAATTAAATAATAAATCTTAAAATATTATTAATTTTTTACCCTTTTAATAAAATTGTTTAATACATAGGACTTGGGTGTATGGTCTTCCCAGATTTATAAAATTTACATTTTTTTGAGAGTAGCCATATAAATTCATCCACTGTTAACTACAACACTTAAAACCTGACATTCCATGAAACCACAAGCAAGTGGCAACATTGTCAAATGTGAAATTCTACTGACAGTAGGACAACGTGTCCTCGAACATGCGCAATAAATACAACTCGACAAACACATCATTTGTTACCAACAGAAATACGATAAACAAAACACGACCGAATTTCTCTTCAAGGTTTTCCTTAAACAATGAATGAATAAAAACTGCAAATATAACTGATATTAGTGGTTAAAGCAAGATATAATAATTCAAGTATACATAAATGTCTTATTCTACTTTTGGATATAATTTATTTTTTAAAAATAATTGGGTATATAATTCTTATGTTATGGTCGTCAAAGTTAAATACCAGTTGCTAGGCCGTAACTTTTTTGTAGATTCTCTTCTAATTTCCTATATTTTTGTTGGTATCTGTCAGATGTCAGTTTGTCAAATACAAAAGAACAATAAACGTCAAATTGATAACATGTGATAATAATAACAATGAAGATGACAATTGGGTGGTGCTGCCATATTAAATTAAAAACTCCTAATTTATTAAAGGTATATAATTTGGTATATAAATTGCATTAAAGGAGTAACTGGTAACCAGGAAATTGGATATGACATATTTTAAAAATTCATTCAAATTGTTTAATTTGAATTTTCGAATTAATTATGAATTTATATTAATATATTAGATATAATCTGTGCTGCCAAAACTTTGGTTATAAAACATGCTACATTTTGTTAAAAAAATGTTTAAAAGTGCTAAAATAAAAAAATGCAAAATAAAACCAGCGAGCGGAGCAGTATAGACGGACGGCGCCAACCATACCATACCCTACACAACTGTAACGGAACTCTAACTTTCTGCGGTTGCTTATTCAGTACAGCCCTTCTAATTACTTGTTCAGATTCCCTTCACCGTGAGTTGCGTTGTGATGTTCGGCTTATACTTGTGGCCTATAGATCGAGTCAAAAACAAAAAAAAAAAAATTTTTCGGTCCACCTCATCCCAAAATTATTTTTTGATCATCACCGAAAATTATAGGCGTTGTCCTTGACTACAACTGGAATCTCGTGGAAAATTTCAAAGCAAATGGGGCTATATTTCCGCTCTCTAG